GGATGACAGTATGTAAGCCTTGTTCTTCTGCTCCTTTCCATTACTGGCGGAGGGAAATTTGAAATTGGTGTCACCTGCTCCTTCAGAGGATGGTCAGTTTGGTATTTGCACACCTGCTTTGTCTTTGGGATTTGTAAAGAGCATAGTTCCCCTAGATATTTCCTGAAACAGAATGGAAATTTTAGCTTAATTTCATGAAATACGTCTCTTGGTGAAAGGATAAAGAAGGGAACAAATGTTTTTTGAGCTCCAGCCACTATTTTGAAGTTTTCTGTACATTCCCTCAATTCCTCCATTGCTAGCAGGGATTTGAATGAGTGAAACATCAGGTAGGTTCAGGTCTATTTGGCTTGGCTTTTCCTTCTGTAAGTAGCTTTCTGATATATAATCATTTCTCAAACAAAGTAGTTTTAAATTTCAAACAACTTCGATTCCATGATTCAGTAAAAATAGTCTTGATTCAAGGCACAGCAAATTAGTTTATCATAGTTTTTGGTTTTGATTTAATTTTATTCAAATCATTGGATTTTATATATCATAAACTTTAAGTTCATAAAACTGTATTTAAAAGCCTTTATCCTGCCCTAAACCTAAGATTTTATAACCTGAAAATTCATATTTTCCTCAATTCTCAGAAATTTTATTCTACTTTCTCATTATCTCCTCACCTCTCTCTTCTCTTTCCTTGTATGACTTCTATTAGACAGAGATTAGACTTTGAGGATCTTGCTTCCATGGCTTTCAACTATTCTTATAAACTCCATCTCTTTGTTTTTTCCACTGTGTTCGGGGGGAATTTCTTTTTTTTTAAGATTTTATTTATTTATTCATGAGAGACACACACAGAGAGAGAGGCAGAGACACAGGCAGAGGGAGAAGCAGGCTCCATGCAGGGAACCCAATGCAGGACTTGATCCCAGGACTCCAGGATCATGCCCTGGGCCGAAGGCAGGCACTAAACTGCTGAGCCACCTGGGATTCCCCACCCCACCCCCACCTTTTTAAAGATTTTATATTTCTGTTCCCACTAATCTGTCTTTCCACTTGGTGAGTTCTGCTTATTAGCTTATAAATTTTCAATTTCAGAAACCACTTTTTAAATGTCTTTGTTTTCTTATTGCTTGTCATGGATCCAATATCCTTTTAAATCTTGCTGAATAAAATTTAGGTTCATTTTAAATTCATTTAAATTTATCTGTTTCGGGGGGATCCCTGGGTGGCTCAGCGGTCTCCCGGCATGGAGCCTGCTTCTGTCTCTGCCTCTCTCTCTCTATCATGAATGGATAAATAAAATCTTTAAAAAAAATTATCTGTTTCATTTTATTAACTTAGTTTCCTCTGATATTACTTCTGTTAGTTGAGTCTAGTGCTTCTCTTTCATGGTATTGGTTCCCCTAACCTGACAAAATCCTCGGTGGTTTCAGTTGTTTGATGATCATTCATTCATTTAAAAAGATTTTATTTATTTATTCACGAGAGACACACAGAGTCAGAGACATAGGCAGAGGGAGAAACAGGCTCCCTAGGGGAAAGCCTGATGCAGGACTTGATCCCAGACTCCGGGATCACGATCTGAGCCAAAGGCAGACACTCAACCATTGAGGCACCCTGCTTGATGATCTTTTAGTTGAGAATTCATTTGCCTGCCTATTCTGTTTACCACAGTCTCTCTTCAGGGATTGTGAAGGAAGGGCACACATACTATCAGGAGAGAGTGAAGAATCCTTGTCATTTCTGGGGGTAAGTAAATACCTGTGTTCTACCCCTGGCTCCAGGATCTCCACTCGCTTCTTTATCCGACAGGCAAACATCTGATACTTAATGCCAGCAGGGAGAGGAGGTTCCTTAATGAATTATTCTTTCCTATGGGCCCCCACCTTCTCTTGTATCCTCTGACTCTTGCTTAGAACTTCCCTAAGCTATTCCTTCTCCTGAGCCTGTTTTGACTTTCTCTCATTGTATTTCTCTATAGATCAGATCCTGTCTCTCTTTTCTATATTTCAGGATTTCCTAAAAATGCTTGGAAAATTGATCAGCCTTTGTCTTATTTCCCTGCGCTGTTAAATTCTTTTTCTAAGACGTATCTTTTTCTGAGATTTGGGATGGAAGAAAGGTAAATGTATGTGATGGATCCATCTTGATCTAATCTCTATTATCTTATTATCTCTACTGATTACCAAATAATACAAGCTCAGTGTGAAAAACTCTGAGACTACAGAGATAAAAAGTGAAAGTTCCCTGTGTCAGGTTCCTCTAACATCCCAATTTACATCCCCTTGGCCTTACCTATTGGTATTAGCTAGAGCTGGATAGGCTATTCTGTGAGTGCTTACTCTCACTTTCTGGTTTACTGGCTGACAGGAGATAGTCTCAAAAGCACACCTTCCCTTCTGATCCCAGAACTGCAGATTACCTATTGGGAGCTTGCTGGTTAGCTTGGAAGTGTGAAGTGTCAACATGGATGGGATAAAGAAGGTGCAGCCCCTGGACCAAAGAGAATGAGGACCAATCTCCCACCCTTTAGACCATTCAGGAGGCATTACATACTCTCAGGAGGCATTACATACTCTTCTCAGAAAATCCCTGCAGAGTTAATCCCTGTTGCCCACAACAATGACCTTGATTATGAGCCCATATATTCAGCTTTTCCTTCTTATCTCTCCCTAATTTCTCATTCCCACACTCTAGGGTTTGCTATTTTCCCCCCTCCTTCTGTGACAATGCCCTTCCCCTCTGTGCTCCTAAACTTCCTCTCTCCCTCAATTCTGATTTATCATTTCACTGTAACTCTATTAGCTGTAAAGCATTTGAGGATGCTGTCAGGATAACAGGCTCTGTAGCAAATGAGGTTGTATTGAATTATTTAGCTTTCAGCTAAAGTGGAGATAACTAAAGCAGCTGAGCTGGTTTGTAAAATCCTAGGGTAATCTGTCCACTGATTTGGTACTTTTATCATAGTAATTTTTCTTGTGGTTGAAAATTATAAATTCTAAGGCTACAAAGAAATATGTGTTCAACTTTTCAGTTCAGTACCACAGGCCTATAGCTAAGAAAGAATCTGTTTCACTAGTATACAATTATGTAGCTGCAGAGCCGCAATCCCCAGGAATCATGAATTTATTTAATAAGTTTATTCACAGAAGGCCTTTAAGAAACATAAATAATTTCTCACCATTTTTTCCTTTCAAAAATAGATCAAGGATTTCTACTTGAGATATATCATACTCTCAGCTTTTGAAGCTGGCCTGTTTTTCTTGAGTTTCCCTTGCCAGAATTTGGTTCTTAAATAATTTTTTAAATGAAAAAGATCTTTCTGTTTCTAACTCAGTAATAAACAAACGGATTTTTAAATGTTGTCAGAAGGAGGGGTGCATCACTGCTAATCTAATGGATGACCACGAGTATTCTGGTATCATCTTTCCTATATTACTAGTGACTCTTGAGAAATTGAGGTTAATAAGAGCCCAGACATCAGAGGGGTGGGGTGGAGAGTTCCATGGCTATGTAATATCTGTGGAGTTTGCTCCACTTAGCACATCTGTGTCTAAAATGCCCACTCTTGAGAAGTGTGGCTGCAGCAGGAAGTGAAATATCTTTGCATCTGTTCAATATATAAACTAAGCATGCACATCTGGCGATTAAACACCTTTACTGTGAACCTTTTCCTGGTGAATCCTGGAAAACAGCATAATTATACTCCCAAGCAAATAACTCAGGAGTAAGACTCCCGTTGTTAAGAACACCAGGCAGTGTCAAAGTTACAACTCTTTTCTACATCTTTGTGCTTTTAATCTCCATTGCCATCCATAATACCTGAGATCACCTGGGTTGATACCGGTTACCTGGGTGAGACATTGTCCTGGAAACAACCGATGGAGAAAGAGGAAAGCTACAATGAGGCGTACCACTAAGTGTTGTTGAGCAATAACCTTGTATCTTAAGAAAGTCAAGAAAATGGACAGACCTGCAAGCTGCCCATTTTCTTCTGCGAATCTCTCTCGGGGGTACTGGGAGATGCCTTGTCTTTCCTCTTTGGCACCACTGATTCTAGTGTTTTCTCGGCCTACCGCATCCCACCCCATCCCATCTTGCAGTGAGGAAGCCCCTACTCGCCTGGAGCCTGGAAAGCGGGCCGGACAGGAGGTGCCGGTGGGCTGCTGTGGCAGTTTGCCTGTTGCTTACGGTCCTTGGGATATGCGAGCTCCTGAGTGAGACTGTGGGCTGCGCCCCGTCAGCATCGCCGGGTCCTCGCGGATTCGCAGACAGAAACAGAGACACTGAGCCCGTGGGCTGGGGGCGGGGGCTCCCAGCGTCTGTTCACACCGCCTGCCAAGTGAAGTCCGCCCCGGAGCGGAGCGCGCTAACACACCAGCCCTGGGGGAACAATCTCCCCCCCCAAACCCGCCGCAGCGGGGGCGCATGGCCCGGGCGCGCGCCTCGCCCACCGTACGGTCTAAGCGTGTGTTTTGATATATTGTAAAAAACGGACAGTACACAGTGGGGTCGCTGAGCGGGAAAGGCTAGAGGGCTCATTTGTGTAGCCAGGCTCGCCGCCCAGGGCGCACGAATTAGGCCGGAGCTGCGGAGTCCAACCCTCTTCCCGCCGCAGGGAGCTCGCGGTAGCGCGCGGTTAGGGGAGGTGAACCACGAGGGGGGCGCTGCGGGCGGCTCGGGCTTCTGGCGTCCCGGGCCCAGGCTGCCAGCCAGGAGGCGGAGGCCGGCCGCGGGAACCGGGCGGAGGCCGGGCAGGTGCCCCCCGGCGCGGAGGCTGATTGGCAGGTGCGGGAGTGGGTGGGGAAGGCGGGGGCTGGGCCTGGCGCTGCGGGAGGCTGCGGCCCCGCCTCCCCGCCCCCGCCGCGGGACTATCTGGTCCCGGCAGCAGCGATGTCCCCCGGCAGGAATGTCCCTCCTCAGATAATGTTATTTATATCTCTGGGCGGGTCCGCGGCTCGGCAGCACCAGGCGCCCGGCGGCCGCTGTGCCAGGAGCCCCGCGCTGCCCTCGTCCCCCCGCGCCGCCGCCGCCGCCGCCGCCGCCGCCGCCGCCGCCCCCGGGCTCGGGGTGGCCGCCGCTCCAGCCCCAGCGCAGGTGAGTCCCGGGAGGGCCCAGCGGCCCGCGGGGGCGAGGGCGAGGGCGGGTGCGGGTGCGGGTGCGGGTGCGCGAGGCTGGGGCGCGCGGCGCGAGCGCAGAGGAGGCGCTGGGCCCAGGGGGCGCGTGACGCGAGTGGCCCGGGGGGCGGGCGGGTGGGGGGGCTCAGCCCTGGGTGCGGGGCGCGGGGCCCGGGAGGCCCTGGCGGCTGCGGCGGCGAGCACCCCGGGGCGCGGGAATCCGCGTGGGCTTCGGAGGCACTTGGCGAGCGGGGCGCTTTGCTTTGGAGAGCCGGATCCCGGAGCGTCGCCCCGGGGCTCTGCGAGGGCGCGGGGGGGGGGCGGTGCGTGTTCAAGTCCCGGGCCACCTCCTCCAGGACGCCGGCGTGGGGGCAAAGGGGAGTCGGCCCGGTTCTAGCCTGTCGGACCGTCGCGCTGCGCTCTCTGCCTCCCGCTGCCGGGCTTCTCAGATTCTCTTCTGGGGGAACTTGTCCGCGCGCTCCCGGGGTAGCCAGCCCAGCGCCCAGGCAGGGAGGACAGGACGGGTCAGCGGAGGGGGCCTGCTCGCCGCGGAAACAGCGGCCGGGTGCAGACCCTAGGGGAAGAGCTCAGGATGCCCGAGGCTTGCTCCGAGGTCCTCCTCCCCTCCCGTCCCGAAGAGTTCTCCAAGCTGCTACGGTCCACTCTACTCTCACCTGCCTCACCAGCTCCTCTTTCCCCAACAACTTGGCCCTGAGAAATTGCAGAAAGTGGAAGAAATAACAGGAGCTTTAACACCATCCCTAACTCCCACTAACTCGCCCAGACTTCCTGAGGATGGGGAAGTCGCTGTGGGCTTGAGTACTGTTTCCGTGACAACGAGCCCCAGGTAGGGCCTTGATTTATAGACTATTAATATCCAAACCACTGTTTTCAGTGAACAATTAGAGGCGCCAGGAGTTGATAAGAATGGGCTAAACTGGCTGAAGGGAAATGAAACTCCATTTTTTTTCGAAAAAAATTTTGGATGCATCAGGTAAGGGGGGTTGGGGGGTGACAATATTTTCGTTCCATAACTCCTGTGAAGAGCCTAGGCTGTCACCTCCAGGTGAGAGGTAGCAATGCAAAATTCATAGACTTGAGGTAGTCCTAGTCTATACCTCACTGTCTAGGGAAAATGATTCAGGTGGTTCCTGACTGAGAGGAGTCTGCAAATCAAAATTTTTATTTTGATTTCTCTACTGTCCACTAACCTATTCTTAGCTTCACACATGGCTCTGAATTTTATTCTAGAATTCCCTATTTGAGCACCCTATGACCCAGGCAGGTTATTTCCTATTCCAGGGTCAGACTTTTATTCTTTTGCTAGGAGCCTTGGGTTCCAGAATGTCTTTGAAAACTCTTTTTTTTTGTTTTGTTTTGTTTAAGTGTACTGAATGCGCAGTGCCCAAGACAGCTAGGCTTGTACTTTCCTGGAGGCTTTGGGCTAGTTAGGAATAGGTACGTTAGGCTCACACTGAAGAAGAGCCTTACCAGCCTTGAAACCAATGGACTCCTCAATGGATCATTTATACAGAACTTTATCCAACTCTAGAGGAAAGCAGCTGAAAAACATAAACCCTACATCATGAAAACATGGCTTTTAGACCCCTTAAGCAGTTGCTCTTAGCTTTATCAGTGGTGCAGTCACATAGATTGGGGATGAGCCAGACCTGTTAATCCTAAATTCTCGGAAGACTCAGAGTCCGCTCGTGGAATTGAAAGCACGCAGAAACTTCCAGGCATCCAGGACGTGTCTTGTAGCATAGGCATATCGAGTTTTCCCTGAGTGGCTTATCCAGCTGAGAGCTGGGATACCACTTTTTGCTCTGGTGGTTGCTTCTTCCAAGTGCTCTGAAGGTGCTCTCTAGCCAAACACCTGCTAGGTGATTAGCCTTGGGGTATGTACAGGTTAGGCAGTAGGTACACTCCCATGTGGGGTCATATCTGACAAACTAAAAATGACTGTTTTAGTCATGGAAGTTTTGAACTAAAGTCAAAATCTGACAGTTCTGCCACAATCCTGGAAACAGATTATTTGCGTAAGTGAAAGCAATAATAGTTTTCATTTTCCCCCATCTTTTATGTACTGGTGCCTGGCTGGTAGTGGACACTCAGTTAATCTTTGTTGAATGAATGAGAGCATGAACAAATGAATGCTCAGAGGTGCTTTTTTGTTTTTTGGGTTTTTAAATCCTATTGTCAAAGTAGTTCTGCAAGGTAGTTCATATTATCAGCATTTTACACGTCAGGAAACAGGCTCAAGGAAATGAAATAATTCGCCTCACATCTTTCAGCTGATGAGAGGTGGGGGCAGGATTCAAACTCAGCTGTTTGGTGCCTACCCACTTTTTAAGGTTAGATGTTCATCAGGGAATATAAGTTGGAAAGATTTGATTAAAGGATGGTCTATTAGCTTCACAATCTTTCACTATCAAGACCTTGGGTTATAATTCTGCACATATCAGAGAAGCTTTAAAAAGTATTACTTGAAGATGGTATTGAGCAATTATTTGCTCAGAGGTGTTTAGCCTGGCCCATTATGTTCAGGTCATTGTTTCAAGGACAGAACTGTAATTTTGGCAGTAGTCAAAGCATGGATTTTTTTGAAAACAGATTTTCCTTTCGGTCGTGGAAGTGGCCAGGAGGGCTTGATGATGCATGGGGACAGTGTGATAGGACAGAGGATGACTATAAAAAATTCATGAGGCAAACGCTATTGGAGTAGGAAGGGACCTTAGAGGTCACTGAGTCCGGCCTTCTGTTTGTGTGGCTGTTTGCCTAAAGGGGAGACCTAACTGCAACTTACCTGGTCATCTGGTACCTGGTGTATGCCTCCCATGTTTCTTATCATTCTTGCTCATTTCATTGCTCTCTCAAGACCAATATTGGGTTTATTTCCTAAAGTTCTGCCTAACCAAACCACTGAAGTTTTCTTTCCTTTGAGGGAGATTGTGAGAGGATATATTTTGTATCCAATTACTTTCATCTTAGTAAAATCTTAAAAAAAAAAAAAGGTTTTGGAGATAGGCAGGTGAGAAGACATCAGTGAGCATTAAACCCTAAACCATTTCATAATATTTCCATTGCTTGTTAGGCATACAGCTGTATACATTTTTATATAATAGATATGTGTGTTATTATCTTAAGGTAAATGATTATGTTGCATTTCTGGGGCAGTGGAGAAAGAAAGGACTTTGGGGAATCATTGGGACTGTCAGATGCCTTTTTAATCTAAACTCCATCACCAAATTGCTCTTGAAATATATTATTTCAGATTTTAAAAGCAAATGCAAAATTATACACTCTGCGTAAGACTTGGAAGTGTAGGAAACCTGACCAACAGGATGTTTAAAGTGATGTAAAGTACATTTCTTCATTATTCATAGTGTTATAATCTCAGACCTGATTGACATTTATCAAGTGACCTGGGAGGATCAAGAGTGAAAATAACTGGGCTCCTGGGTGGCTCAGTGGTTGATCATCTGCCTTTGGCTCAGGGCATGATCCTGGGGTCCTGGGATCGAGTCCTGCATTGGATTCCCTGCAGGGAGCCTGCTTCTCCCTCTGCCTATGTCTCTGCCTCTGTGTGTTTCTCATGAATAAATAAATAAAATCTTAAAAAAAGAAAAGAATGAAAATAACTGTATAGTGTGGGCTGAAGAGAAATGTGATGAGGACTGGCAGGAATAGTTCATGGATATTGAGTTCTGAAACCATATGGATATTACTAGTCAGAAATTGCTGTGGAAAGAAGTATTTTATCTTAGAAGTAGTTTGTATTGACTCAGTTGTTGTTATAGATAGCTCTTTGATTACTCCTCTACTTCAGATAAGAAATCTGGGGAGGAGGAATAAATGCAGTGGTCTGTGTACCTGAATCATCACGTAGCATTTGCTAGGTGATCACAAAGATGCTTCTTTTTTCTGCCAACCCCAAGAGGTGAAGGTCACCTGGTTTTGGAGATGGAGACAGTGATCGAGGGAAGGCGTAGGAGGCAGTCAGAATTCACTGTCAGATCTGGCTCCAGTCACTGAATTGTCAACTCCTCTTGGTAAATATTTAGAAAATGTCATAGCATGTTTCCCTTTGTTGCTGTGCTTATTTCTTAATTCACAGCCAAGCAATCCAAGCTCTGCCATTTTCAGCCAGCCTTAGCTGAATATCAAACCACCAGGGGATCCCCAGCTTTATAGCTCACACAGTTTTAGAGGCGGTCATAGACAAAAAATGCTTCCTTAGTGGAGATTGCTGGCTAGCTTATGATATTCCCGGACCACCTTTCATTTTTCTCTTTCTTTCTCCTGGTGGCAGGAAATCTTACAAAGCCATCATCTTCCTCCCTCAGCGAGGCCTTCTCAGGCTTTACTATGTTTAATTTCTACAGATCTGTGCAGATCTGGACAAGGGTATAATTACAAGGGCAATTAAAACCCATATATCATGTTCCCAATGGGGGCAAAAGTGGGGCTTCCTTTCTTCCTTTCATTTGAATGCTATAAATTTAGCAAATGAAAAGGTACAGAGCTAGAAAAAAGTAGACTTTGCATTGAACTGGGCTCAGATCATCCAGGATAGTTATGAAAAGAATAACAGGGCACCTTGGCAGCTAAAGAACAATAATTGCTTTGAATTATATTCAGTTCAGGAGTTTCCACCATCATGAAAAGGAACAGAAACTTGAATAACCCTGAAAATGAATGAGTTGAAAATCATTTCCATTTGTATTAGGGTGTGCCTCATTTGAGATTTCCTAGCACTTCCAGTAAAACAAAGCATACTTTAAAGATATAACTTATGAGTCCTGGAGAGAGGTCCCTGGCTTCGTTCCGTCCCCTCTACTTAGTTCCTACCTATTTCTGGAAGCCCCTCGGAGTGGTCACTCAGTGGCATCTTCCAGTAGGCATACTTTCTCAGGAGTAGAAAAGGAAGAGAAGCCTCTTCCTAATACTGCCTCCAAGCCATAAGTCAGAGAAAAAGCT